AGTACTCCATTTTCCCAGAAAGCTCTTTTAGGGCCCAGTAAAATGAGAGGAAACCAAGAAAAAGTAAGGCATGAGATACTGGAAACAGGAGATTGAACACAAAAAAGAGGCAAATAAAATTCCCAGAATGATGGTGAGGAGAACTGCAAGATAACAACCTGCACAAAACACGGAAGACAACTAGTACAGGTTGGAACATACACCTTAAGTGACATATACATATTAAGACTGTTACCACCAATAATGCTTTAACCTTTGTACTGTATTCTCAACCTGATAGTACTCAAGTGAGGTTCTTAGCTCTCCTTGCCCTGTTCAATTGCTGATAACATTCTGCTCTCCCTTCCTATCCAGCTGCCTGGATAAGCTTAGGATGCCATGTCCTAGAGAATTGTTCAGGTGTGACCCACTTCAGAGAGCTGGAGATGGGCTGCATTAAGTTTAGAGACATGAAACACAGAGTGGCACACCCTTTCCAAACATTTTCCTCCTGATTGGATAGAACTTCCCCACCAGATTCCCCTATGTGGTGAACCCTTTGCTTCCCATGGATCACTGCAGGTGTGCCTCCTGACATCCTGAGAATGGATTTTTGAACCCTCTAAGAAAAACTGAAGCCTGAATAAAAACCAGAAACACTGTTCAGGTCACCTTTTCCTAAGCACCTTTAACTATCAATTACGGTGCTGCCATTTTCTTACACAGCTAGTCTGTGCTTGCTACTCAGATTTCATATTAGTCACTTTTCACACTGATCAAGACATTTAATTAGTTGTTGACAAAATAATTAAATATATGATGGAGAAATATATTAAAATTAGGATATGTTTTAATCTAAATGCCACCACCATCCTTAATGGACAAATACTACATGCATTTCATTAAAGGTGCCCACTAACATGGCTGTTATTTAACAATGTTAGAGGTATTAGCCAACAAAATTAGACAAAAGAAAGAAATGAAAAGTATAATAACTGGCAATGAGGAGATAAACTTGTCACTGCCTTAGGTGATTTGGTATTTTAAGTGATACATCTGAAACTTCTAAGAGACTCAACTGAACAACAATTACAGCTAGCAAAATAGCTCAGTAATCAATAGTAGAAAATCAATAGCTTTCAAGTCGTAATATAGAAATATTCCAAAATTTTAGCTAAATAGAAAATAAAAAAGAAATACGGTACAGAATATTTTATAGAGGATACTATCTTTTTAAAATTATGTGTATGTTTGGGGTGTGTGTGTGAAATAAGAACATATATTTGAATTTATTTGATAGGTAAAAGAAACAACCGAATCACAAACAGGAAATTAATAAAAATAAAACACATTTAGTCACACTTTCAACATACATAAAGTCAAAATCACTCATTCTTCAAACTTAAAAATCCTACAATTATAATTTTTTTCTTGTTCCAAGAATTTATTTTTATTATTTTTTTATTATATATACATGTGGGGTAAAACATTGATTTTCAATAATTGTGTAGAATGTGTGATCAATATAGTTAGCTTGTTCATCATAACAATAAAAAATCATTCTTTGTGTCCACTGACCAATTCCTCATTAGACCCCTCCCTCTCCCCCTCCCCTCCCCTTTTCCACCGCTAGTTTTCTAATAGTTTGATGTATTACTGTGATTGTTGTTTCTTTCTTTCTCTCTCTCTTTATTGTTCATCAGTTTATTTATGGATTCAGCTCCCACTTATGAGTGAGAACATGTGGTATTTCTCTTTCTGTACCTGAGATGTTTCACTTAGGATAGATTACTGTGATTGTTGTTTCTTTCTTTCTCTCTCTCTTTATTGTTCATCAGTTTATTTATGGATTCAGCTCCCACTTATGAGTGAGAACATGTGGTATTTCTCTTTCTGTACCTGAGATGTTTCACTTAGGATAGTTTTCTCCAGGCTCATCCATGTTGTTGCAAATGGTAGAATTTCATTCTTTTTTATGGCTGAGTTGTATTCCATTGTGTACATATACCACAATTTCCTTATCCAGTCATCCATTGATGGATATTTAGGCTGGTTCCATTGCCTGGCTATTGTAAATAGAGCTGCAATAAACATGGGAGTGCAGGTACCCCTTCAACCTGATGTTTTCCAAACCTCTGCATATATCCCCAGTAGTGGGATTGCTGGATCATATGAAAGTTCTAATTGTAGTTGTTTAAGGAACCGCCAAACTGTTCATCATAATGGTTGTACTAATTTTCAGTCCCACCAACAGTGCAGGAGGGTTCCTCTCTCTCTGCATCGTCACCAGCATTTGTTTTTCTCTGTCCTTTTATGATAGCCAGTCTGATTGGGGTGAGGTGATATCTCAGAGTGGTTTTGATTTGCATTTCCCTGATGATTAGTGATGTTCACCATTTTTTTATATACCTGTTGGCCATTTGTATGTCTTCCTTTGAGAAATGTCTATTCAGCTCCTTTGCCCATTTTTTAATTGGATTATTATTATTATTATTATTTTGGCTGTAAAGTTGTCTGAGCTCTTTGTATATTCTGGATATTAATCCCTTGTCAGATACATATTTTGCAAATATTTTCTATCATTCTGTAAGATGTCTTTTCACTCTATTGATTGTTTCCTTTGCTGTGCAGAAGCTTTTTAGTTTGATATAATCTCTTTTGTTTATTTTCTCTTTTATTGCCTGTGCTTCAGGGTTGTTATTCATAAAGTCATTGCCCAGTCCTAAATCCTGGAGCATTTCCTCTACATTTTCTTCTAGGAGTTTTGAAGTTTCATGCCTTATGTTTAGGTCTCTAATCCATTTCGAGTTGATTTTGGTATATGGTGATGGGTAAGGGTCTAGTTTTATTCTTCTACATATGGATGTCCAGTTTTCCCAGCACCATTTATTGAAGAGGCAGTCTTTTCCCCAATGTGTTTTTGGTGCCTTTGTCAAAGATCAGTTGGCTGTACATATGTGGGTTGATTTCTGAGTTCTCTATTCTGTTCCATTGGTCCACATGTCTGTTTTTATGCCAGTACCATGCTGTTTTTGTTACTACAGATTTGTAATATACTTTGAAGTCAGGAAGAGTAATGCCTCCAGCTTTACTTTTTTTGCTCAGGATTGCTTTGGCTATTTGGGGTCTTTTGTTATTCCATACGAATGTTAGGATTGCTTTTTCTGTTTCTGTGAAGAATGCCATTGGTACTTTGATGGGAATCACATTGAATCTGTAGATATCTCTGGGAAGTATGGACATTTTTACTGAATTGATTCTTTCAATCCATGAACAAGGAATGTCTTTCCATTTCTTAGAGTCTTCTTTAATTTCTTTCAGAAGTGATTTGTAGTTCTCATTGTAGAGATCTTTCATCTCTTTGGTTAGATTTATTCCTAGGTATTTTATTTTTTTGGAGACTATTGTAAATGGGCTTGTTTTCTTGATCTGTTTTTCTTCTAGTTTGTTGTTGGAGTATTAAAATGCTACTGATTTTTGTATGTTGATTTTGTATCCTGCAACCATACTGAATTCATTTATCAGCTCCAAGAGTTTCTTGGTAGAGTTTTTTGGGTTTTAATCACACTTTCAACATACATAGAGTCAAAACTCCTCATTCTGCAAGCTTAAAATTCCTATAATTATAATTTTTAACCTGCAGAAAATTTTCAAATAAAGAGCTTCTTAAAGGTAGGTTTTGAACCCATTGCTTGAAAAACAAAACAAAACCAAAAAATGGTACTTCTGATACAGCAAACACATTCAGCATAAATTTTGGAAAGCACATCAATGGCTTGAAAATATATGAATTCAGCTTACATAAAAAAATATCAATTTTGTACTGTTTTAAACACTGAATTTGCCTGTTATCTGAATGTCATCTTGAACAATGCGTATTATTTTATATTAAATTTCTGTTTTGCACAAAGCCAGATATATTTACTTATTGCTTATTGAGCAGATAAATAATAGACTACATTATTGAACTCATACAAATATTGTATTACTTTGAAAATTCAAACATTAATGCATTAAACTGAAATATTAATCCTACTATATTAGGCATTGTGCTTGACTCTGAGGTTATGACGGTGATAAAAAGTAGATTTCATGTCATAAGGGTCACATCCTAAGGGATTTTACTCAATTTATTTTCTTACATATAAAATTTCAGAAATATAAGATACATTTATATATCTGCAAATTGTAGCCCTTTCCTTTTATAGATATATATACACAGGCCTTTTTTGCAACTTTTCTTTCAAGTCATCTTCTCATCCTTATGGTTTCTTTGCTCCATTCACATAATTCACCATCTCGTTTAGTAGCTCCTATTTCCTCAAAGTCTTCCTCATTCATCTCCTTTCCATGTTAAACACTCACTGTAGTTAAGGCCTCCTTACCTCTCCTCTGTACAGTTAAACTCATCTATTTGCTGCACAGCCAGTTTCTCTCCAGGACAAAACATTGCCTGTCTGGAATTAAAGACCTCATTCATTCTTCCCACACTCACTTCCTCTTGATTCCTTATCCATGCTAAAATCAATTTCATAATTTACTGGGCCATGAAATAAACCCAGTACTTTGCCTCTGCTCACATGTTAATTACCCTCTGTAATGCCCTCCCCTTTATTCCCTAATGTTTTCCAGACCAAATCGCAAGCATCCTTAAACTAATTTTCACTGCTACCTACCTCTTCAATGAAGATTTGTTTAAAACCCCATCCCACTCCGATGAGCTCTCTCCTTCCTTACACATTTCTCCTCTCAACACTTTTGAAAATAAACTTAGCAGCCTTCAGGAGACACTCTGCAGGCACTTGCTTTGTCTGCAGAAGAGGGTGAGGTGGAGGATCGAAAGAAATTATTGGAAGAGACAAACAGTACACCACGAAAGCAGGTGTCTTATGAAGGACACAGCCCCATGAGGAGAGGTTTTCCTGCTAGTAAGAGATTCTAGCATAATGTCTACAACACTTAGACCTAATATGCTTGATTTTTGTCCACTAACATACTCTTTATGCCTTTCTTCTTCCCAGGATGTGACAGTCTCTCACAAGCCTGTTTCTCTGCATCCTTTATATCAGACTAAACTCTATCCTCCTGCTAAGTCCCTGCTGCACCCACAGACCCTGTCACATGCCGACTGCCTTACCCCAGGACCCTTCACTCACTTGTCCTCCTTCTCACTGAGTGATGAACAGGAGAATTCTCACACCATCGTTAGTCACACCACGTATAATAAGGTGAGAATTCATTGCCCAAATGGGAATTATTCTGTGTTGTGAACCTTCATTATGCTTATTTTTTAAAACTTAAATGTGGAGAAAACATATATTAAGAATATTAAATATTTAACATTTAAACGTATGAGAATATTAAATATTTGTGTTAAAGCATATTACCTTACAAGCAGATAATAACTGACCTTGGGAAATAATAAAATTTTTATTTTTCCTTTTGAAGTCATTTCCTGATTTGTGTTTCTCATTGTTCCATGATCTAACACAATTTGGAAATTCCAAGAAATTTTCCAAAACCTGTAAGGTTTATTGATGCCATTATTAATTTATATTCTAGTTTTCGTTCACAGTTCGTAAAAAGTTTCTTTCAATTACAGTGCCTTGATGAGAAGGCATTTATAATCGCAGTCAATGATGAAGAAATACTTAGAATTAAGAGGAACTTCAAAAAGTTCATGGAAAGACTCATAGTATCTTTTCATTCTATTTTTCCACTAACTTTTTGCAAAATAATATTAACATTTTATTTTAAAATGTGCCTATCTGCTTCATTGTGTATAGTAACAGAATATGTAAAAATTAGTGAAGTATTTAGTACCTGGAGAATGTGTGTGTGTGTCTGTGTGTGTGTGTGTGTGTGTGTGTGTATGAAAGAAAACAAGTGAAAAAATATTTATAATTGGCTTTGGAATGCAATCATAAGTCATCTATTAGAAGCAAGCAGTTGATATTATATGGGGCTTACATATAAGTGCCCTTTGTTCTTCTGAGAATTACCATAAGGACATACTGGGTAATACAGACTCTCAGACCCTGAAAATTTCCTAAAACAATTGACTAAACTCCACCTTCAATTAAATCTTTTTGTAAAATTCAAAATCTTGTTCAAAAGCATTTATTTTGCAATTTCTCCCTATCTAATGAAATATATCTCTATACTTGGAAATCAATCAAGGCCATCTTCCGGAATATAGTTGAACAATATTCCTTGGGCCCTGAGAAAGTAATTTTTTTTTGAAAAATTGTTCACAAACCCAGTCTAAACACAAACAGTCACCTAAAATATGAGCACTAATATATGAGGAAAAATTAGCTTTTAATATTTAATGCCATCTATGATGACTGAATTATCAATTCTGAATTAACTTTTAAAATATTCATTTTTGCCAACAAAATGTTTCTGGGCAAAGTTCAAGATGAAATTTTTATGACTCTGGTTGTCCTTTTATGACGGCATCTTCTTTTTGGTCTAGAAAAAAATGTATATCAGGGAAAGTATAATATTTACGTAATAATTTTATATTATTTGAAATTCTCGTTGATTTAATTCTTGCCAACATCTATGACATTTATTTAGTTATTAAACAGAGTTTATAGTTCTGATAATGTCACCATTTTCTTATAAATTGTCATGTATGATAGGATTATGATTGCATTTTATAGATAGCAATTACATGAAATAGCTCCTTCTTCTGCTATTTCGATGGTGTTTTTGGAACTGTTCAGCAAGAATAGACTCAGTATTATCGATATTTTAGCCTTTGCTGGGTGAAGTTGTGAAGAATACTACAGGAGAACTTCAAAAAGTTCATAAAAATTCGTATTAGCTTTTAATTCTATTTTTTCATGAACTTTTTTTAAGTACCCTCATATATAAAAGCCATGTGGGGTTGGACAACTATTTTCAGTCCATACAATCATAATAATAGATTTTATCTCTCAGAGTGTGAGATTTATTAATACTGAATAAAGAGTTATTCATATACAAAATAATAATAGAAATAATAATAATATAGTAAGACATCATTTCTTAATGGAAGATTCCATTACTTAGTCTTCTATCTCTATTGCTCCTATTAAAATATATGAATCACCCAATTTGATATATATGTTTACAAACCTTGTATTGTAGATCATGGGCCAATAGTATACTAATTTATCAAGACTTTCTTTTTTATTTGAAATAGCCTCTTGATTGGAATTCAAAATATAATCTGCCATCTAAATTAACTCCTCTCCAATACCCTCACCTCATTCCCAAGTCTAATCTTATAGTTTACCAGTAGGTAAACTACTGGGCTCATCTCCAAACTCAAATCTTCACACCCTTCCCTCTGGAGAGCCATGCTAAAACTTGACTTATCAATCTTTAGGGCCCCTCATCAACTGGGGGTACAGAAGGTGTTTAACAGGCTTTCTTCTTCTGTTGAGTCTACAGTGTGTGCTGTTTTCTAAATCATCACCAATCTCCTCAGGCTTATAGTCCTCATCCCATTTCTTTCTCCTTTTTCTTACTTTAAGGGTGGAACTCTATAATATGACATCATATCATATCATATGATAATGACAAGGTCCTTTCTTTTTCATCTTGGAATAAACCAGAATATCCACCTTCCACACTTTCCTCCAGTCTCATGAGGGAAGTCATTCCTCCTACGTCCTTCTTTAATCCTTGAAAGTAATATAACCCAGTCGGTAAGAGCGTGATGCCTCATCTGAGTTCATTTCTTGACCCCACTGCTTCGAGATGGCAGTATTGGGCAATTCATTTAGCCTTCACAAGCCTCCATTTACTCATCTTTAAAATGGCATGATAATGGTAGTCACCTTATTAGAGTATTATGAGAATATGATAGACTAATATGTGTAAAGCATTTAGCACAGTGCCTAAAACATAACAAGAACTACATTAAAGTTAGATATTATTATTACTAAACCTTCTAGGATTGTCAGTCCTATTACTCTCTGAATCTTCATTTGTTCCTTCTGCATTGGACACCTACCCTTTAATGCAGAAACCTCAAAAAAAAAAAAAAAAAAAAAAAAAGAGCACTTCCCTATCCTTTCCCTTGATGCTGCTGCTAATCTAGCAGTTTTTAAATTTACGTTCTCTCGAAGTGGTCAGTAGGCACTATCTCTATACTCTTTCTATAAATTTAATCTTTAACCCATTCCTGAAAGCATTCTGACTTTGACCTCTACCACTCTACTGAAATTGCTGTCAAGGGTAAACTTCTTGTCAGCAAATTCAGCTGAATTTCCTCAGTCCTCCATCTCTTTTTCCCTCTGTAGCAATTGATGCAATTGATCATTCAATCTTGAATTTCTCTCCTCTTTCTGCTCTTGGGATAACATGTACATTGCAACTCCCTGACTGCTGCTCTTTTTTTTTCTTTGTGGACACTTCCTGCTCCTCTACCTCTTCTAATTGCCTCACTTCAAATATTTACTCACTCACAGGCCTCAGTAACTATTTAGTACTGCTAATCTCATGCTAATCTCAAATCCACATTTCCAATTCTGCTTCTCCACTGAGATTTAGTTTCATACCTTTAGCTGCTTATCATCTCCTCTAGGATGTCATGTTGTCACCTCAAAGTCATCATGCATCAAACTAGTTCTGCACTGGCTTCCTTACTTCTGTCACTAATATCATAATTCTCAGTCCCCAGATTCAAAACTTGAGTCATCTATTATGCTTCATACTTTTTTTGTTTCCCTTGTAACTAGTCATTCACCAAGTTGAATGGATTCTTCTTTCACTGTGCCTATCTTATTATCTCACACTGTTCTTATTGTCCTACTTTACTTAAACTTATTTTCCTTCAGGCATGCATTGGGAATTCCTTGCTGTTCAACTTGTTCATGCATTTTCCCCATATAAAATACTCTCCTGCTTTTCTTCTCACTTATGCAAACTGTTCTCATACAATGAAGTCCTAGTCAAATGATCGCGCCTCCTTTGTGAAGTTTCTCCATATATCAACATTCAAAATGATCTTTTTTACTTCATTCAATTTCTACAATCCTTGCCTGTGCCAAGGCATCTTGTCCATATTATGAGTAATCTTATATTTATTTGTTGTGCTTGTCTTGGTGTCCATCTAGGGTGTAACACACTTAATATTGTATTTTCAACATTATAAGTATGGCAATAAATATGTGTTAATGATGACCAAATCTTAAAATGATCCAACTTCTTTACTAGGAGCCACAGATGATTGAATAATTATGATTATTTCTGTTTTAATCAAAAACTAAATCTGAGTCAATTTATGGATTGACCAGCATGTTTAGAATAATTTCAGTCCTTTTGTTGAGGGTGCCAGACAATTTCCAGAGAGCTTATGGAGTCCCTTGGCATGGGAGCATAGGTAGGGTGGGGACATGGAGGCAGGTGAGATTTGATTTTCCTTTGCTGTATGAGAACTCTGGCATCCAGTTGGGTGTCCTCATTTCTCTCTGGTATAAGGCTATCAGTTGTATAGCACATGGCTGCATGCTTTTTTCTGCACCTGCAGAGTGTACCCTCATTAGCTCTAGGTCATCTACTTCAGTGTCCCTATAGCGTATGTGGGCAAACATGGTTGCCTGCATGTGGGAGCAGGTCAACCCTGTGAGGCTATCTCAGAGCTATCATCTTAGATTTCTATTGGAGTCCATCCACTATTTTTGAAAATTCAGTTCATTTAGAAAGATTATTCTTGCTAAGCACCATCAATATGTTGTGACAGGAGTCTCAACTACTTTCTTAGCCCTCAGGTGAGAAAACTAATATGCACATAAAATATATAAGTACTGAGTTTATCATGCTTCATAGCTTTTATTCTTTTCTCTATCCATCTTCTGCCTCATTTCTTCCATATTCTACTCTCATAATCTCTGTCATTTTAAATCAACCCCAAATTCCAATTCTTCTGGCCTACTTTTAAAATTTCAACTCATTTACTCAATTTTATGCACTTTTTATTCTTTTCTTATACCAATTACATTTTCTCCCTTTTTTTTTTTTAGCGCAACTACAAGCCATGTGGGCAGGAAGTTATCTCTGATTGTTGTCTCCCTTGAGACTATACTCTGCCAATTTGCACCAGTAGCAAACAAGAAAACACATGGCCCGTCTATGAATAGGACCCAGAGGAGGGAGGACTAAGCTTTCACCATCAGGATGACTTTTCTGATTTGCTGGCAGGAGAGAGGCTAGGATTTTCTAAGCAGGAAGA